CCTCCTGTCAGCCAGTCACAGTCAAGGCCCTATGGGCTTCTTCTAGGGTCCCCAAGGCAGATATACCAGCTGGACTGCCTTCAACAGATATGAATGGATCCCTTCTCTAGATAATTTCATGACTGAATTAATTATTTTCTGCACAAATCTATAGACTTAGGTAGAAGGTACTTGGGGAGAGGCCATGCACAGCCTAGATTGCAAAATGCTTTATTTGCGTGATTGTCTCTTAGCATCTTGCACTGAATTTTGCAATCTCCAGCTGCCCATGAAGACTGACAAGCTGCAATGTCCATGTTCCCCTGAACAGCATTTTGAGTGAGATGAAACCCTCACACACAGAATCTAAATTCAGATGTTCTATCACATAGATAATCCAAAAGAGGGCTGTATCTGAGACATTTTCTTTTCTTAGCTTGATGCAATCATTTTATTGTCGCAGTTCATTTGGCAGCCTGTTTGCAATACCAGGCTAATTGAGTTTGTCTTGCTGAAATCCTAGTTGCTGAGAAGACCAAAGAGCAGGCCAACGTTGTGGGAGAAGCGGTAGTAGCCAGCGTGAACACAGTGGCAAACAAGACTGTAGAAGGAGCAGAGACCATTGTGGCCACTACAGGAGTTGTAAAAAAGGTATGTTTGTTTCTTTAGCAGCCTGCAGAAAGCTCCTTTTTTGGATTGGAAATGTCATTAAGAATTGATGGTTTTACCTACTTAATGAGAGGATTTCAACAATATCTATTATTATAGAACATTTAATATATAATGTTTGATATCAGGTACAATTAAAGGTAATAGCACTGTCTCTTGATGTATGCTGTGTGGATAAAACTATTCAGAAACAGAATGAGACTCTAAGGTATCAAAGACAAAGATTTTCAAGATTGATTTGGCATTCAGGGCCCCCTGCTTACCATATTTACTGAAGTCTGGTGTGAAATATTGTTGGTGCTAACTCTGAGGTGAGTCTTCTTCCTCCCAGCCCCTACCAAAATAATTAGATATCCAGGGGTATCATGTGCATTTAAAGATCTTTATCTCATGGAAATTTTGTTGAACAATATGCCATCTCCAACTACTTTTTGAGAATAGCTGCTTTGCGGAACTCCACAGCAGTGGTACCTGAATTCAGTTCTAGTTATGATAATGTGCCTTTATAATGTGCATAGCAAGCATCTAACAACTGCATCTTAGTCTTCTTGTTCAAAACAGATTTAATAATATTTTATGATTTTGAAGACTTGTTTTTTAATAAATGATTTTGTTCATATTTAAAGGGCTTATTGTTCCAGGAGAGAAAATAGACTATTCTTGGAGATATATTTAAGCTTAAAAATTCTGAGGAGTCTTAAAGAATAAGCGGCTTTTGCTTTCAAAACTGGTTTGCATCTAACTCCAAATGTGAATTTCCTCAAAATGTATTCATCAAGACAAGTTTGTATCAAGATTGTAAAGATTTGCATTTTTATTTGGAAGGTCTTTTGTGCTGTTGTAGCCATTTTTCAGGGTGGAAAAATGTTTTTGTGTTTTAAAATAATGTAAAACTGCAAGTTTTTCATGGACTTGAATAGATGCAGAACAAGACTGCAATGGATGTGCTGGGATATGGGAAAAAAGGGGGAGGGGTCGGTGATTATATTCCCACTTGGTGTCTTTACAGTACGGACAGCTTTGAGGTATATTTTGAAATTTTGTATTTACCATCCACCCTTTCTACTAATTCCAATCCCTGTATTGATGCAGATGCATCTCCCAACCAGGACCATCATTTTTGTCAGCAGTAGATGGCAGCATTAATTAAGACAACACGGCATGGATCTGAAGAGTGTGGTCCCATAGAAGACTCCAAAGAGTATTATCCTTGTGTTCCAGCTGGGCTGATTTTGATAACAACTAAGCATCTTTTGATAAAGGCCATGTGACCCAAATTATGCACCGATTAAGTCAGATTCAAACAAGGAATCTTCTGTCCTTAAATGCAATGTGGCAAATTGAATGGGTTCAACTTAGTGGATGAAGGGATATGTATAGGAGCAGTGCAAAGCCTTGGCTGAAAGCAAAGCTGGTCATTAGACAAGGCATTTTCACCATGTGATAGCAAATAGAAACCTTTCGTACAGTACATGAGGCTATTCTAGTGGTAAATATTTGGCAGTTCTTTGATAAACTTGTTTTTTTCCCCCCTTTAGAGGGGAGATTTTTATAGTCTTTTTAGAGGGGGGATTTTATGGCCTTTATAGGGCCATAGTCAATAGAGCTGATTGATAGTTACGCTGGCTTAGTACAAGCCCAAACCCAGAATCAAAGCAAAGTGAGGCTGGCCAAAATTGTTTTAATTGTTCAGACAGTTGGCTGATGGATTTCCTGACCTAACAGTAAACACATTGTGATGTGAAACAAAAATTGTGCGCACCGCATAAATCCTGGGAGAATAGGCTAACAAAGGAGGAGAATGGCAGCTATGAGTGATGCAAAATGTCCTCTTGGAAACGTGTGAAAAGGACAGACATAGGAGATCTGCTAAGCCCGTGGGATAAGATTAATCTTTATTGCCACAGGGAGGTTGCGGGAGTGCAAACAGCGATTTCTCATTCAGCGGGGACAGACTCTACCCTCTTGCACCTTTTGACAGAGCAGGTTCCGGGGTGGTCGCCCCAGGGAAGCTGGGAATGTGCTGACAGGGTGACCCCGTCAGCCCGAGGGGAACCGGCGGCCCCGCTTCAGACACGGCCGGAGCAGCAGTGCCCTTTCCCTTCAGCCCTCAGTGAAAGCCCCTGCTCAAGGATTAATGAGCTAAAAGGTAGTGGCGTTAAGGTCACACCTCGAGCTGATCTGCTTTGTCTGTTTCTACCCTTGGGCAGAGAGTCCTGTAGAAAATCAGCTCTTCCCTCTCCCTCATAGTGTCTCTGCATTGTGCGCGCTGAATCCCAGGAGCTGCAAGTTTTCCGGAGTGTTACGGGGTTAAGCCTCTGAGGGAGGTGTCATTCTGGCATCTCCTCACAGAGTCAGCCACATAAAGTTAAAATGGAGATTGGCCAAGAAGAAAAAAAAGTGGGGGATGTGTCCTATGCCAAATAACAGACAAAATGGCGGGGCCAGGAAACTGCTTTAGGTACCATGTCATGGGGTAATGTTAAAAAGCAGAAGTGGGGAGCAGACTGAAAACAGGAGGAGAAAAGCAAAGCAAAAGAAGTTATAGAAGAAATGAGTTAAGGTAAAATATTTGTATTGGTGACAGAGAGGGGCCCTCTGACCTAGTGTTGTAGTTTAATTGAGGAGTGAAAATCTTCCAATCGTCGTCACTCGCCATACTGTGCGGCCCAGCAGAGAGAGGTCGCAAAATGCATGACCTGGATTCCTTTCAGGTGGCACCAAGGCAGGTGATTTGCTCCAAGCTTGTCCCTGCTGCTAAGCGGTAGGGGCCTGAAAGGAGGAGTGCTGTGCTGCTTCCCTGCACCAGCTCCTTCCTCTCCAGGTCTGCTCCTCTTCTGCTGCACAATTCAGACAGCTGGAGGCTGCTGATGGCAGTGCCTGGAGCTGCAGGATGTAGAAAGGCATGCTGGAGATACACTAAGAAGAGGGAAAAAAATATAGCACTAACGTTTAAAAAAATAAATAGATGATACAAAACCCTTCTAATCCCACATAAGTTCCTTCCCCCTAAAGTTTGAGATGGTTGTTACGTATAGTCCTGAGCCTTCTTCATGCTCCGTCTGGTTCTTTTATTTTTGATTGCAAAGCGCAGTTGCGTAAGTCTTATTTCTGTTGTCAGTTACTCTTAGTGTCATTCCCCTCCTGACTTTATAGAGAAGTTGTTTGAAGTGCTGGGGCATCTGTGTAGATACATGGTGAGCACTGAGCAGTGCTGCAGAAGGACTTGAACGTGGGCAGTCGAGTGGCGCCCAGGGCAGAATCTCGGCTCACTGTTCCTAGCATTAATAAGAATTACAGAGAGCTTGTTGACATGTAATCTGTGTGTTGAGCAGCTGGTATCCATGTGAGACACGTGCTAGCAATGCACTGATTGTTCTTCAAAGATCTGGGGGTCAATGAGCCTTGTGGGTGCATCAGGTAGCCCTAAGTCAACGGGGAGATTTGGACTCTCCGCTTAAGGCGACAGGTACTAGGACAGCTGCACACACAGGGCAGCCGGCACCCTGCGGGACAGGCCCCTGCTGCTCCCCGCTGTCCTCAGACCCGGGCAGAAGAAAATGTGACCAGAACAGCTCTGCTCTGAAGGAGGGGGGCCAGGCACTAGGTGTGCACAGCCTTGGTTAGCATGGTCATCACTGTCAAGGTGAACTTGGTCATTGCCCTGGCCACTGCCGAGTGCAAGAAATGATTGACTGTTTCAGCATTTAAGCATGAAGTAAAAATACATAAATTAAAATGTAATAAACCCTCCATATATTTTTCCAGTATGCAAAGAGTGAGCACTGTTAGTAATGTGTTTGGTCTATAGCTCTGCATGCATCTCAGTCACCGGCGTGGGCATTAAGTAATTTCCATGAGATGGTCACTCATTAAGTATCCCTGTCTCAGAGCAGGATTAATTTTTCATCCGCATGACACAGCACAAAGTTTGCTGCATTGCAGACGCCACGTGGTTGGGAACAAGCGCGGGTGCGTACACACATGCACTCACACACACATCAGATGCCCCTCAGGGATTTTCCCAGGAACTGATACTCCCCTACAATTAATCTTCCCTCACCCTCCACCTCCATCTTCCCTTTAGATCCATTCATCCTGTCAGTTTTTACATGGTTTGGTTGTCAGTCACAATTCTGTCATTTGAAATTAGTTTTGATTTTTTTTATTTTATCCCATTAATTATTTAAGCAGTTCTCAGTGGCTTGCAACTGCCGTGTGCATTCTGTTAGACCTCATCTTCCCTCTGTGTGTGTAGTGTGCCTATAGTTTAGGTTATCATTTTCATAACAACTACATATTTTTTGTATGAACTGTTCACGTACATGGTCTTAATTCTGTACGCACGTAAACGCACGTAAACTGTGCGATTCCACTGACACAGTTCGGCTGAAGGAATTAAAGGTAGTCATCAGTGAAACACCTACCTGTGTAAGTTTGTTTTGGTAGGGTGAGTGCGAGTAGGAGAGGTGCAGCACACAAGGGCACCTGGATGCCTCAGAGAGCAAAACTGCTGAGCCTGTGCACCCAGGGAGGCACCCAGCAGGAGGAACAGGGAAATCCACAGCTTAAGCATGACAGGATTAAGCAAAATAAGCAGCTGCAATCCTGCCCGTTGTGCTCAGGCTTCGCTGTGCACTGCGGTGACACCTCCCTGTGATGCAGAGGAGGCTGCGGGAGCAGCCTGGCCTGGGCTACTTTGCACTGGCTGGTTGAGAGGGGAGCTCACCTTGGAGAAGAGATTTGTGCAGTAAGACAGCGCACGCGCACCCCGCTGCGGGGCTGGCGGCGCTCCTGCCCCGCGCTCGCCAGCGAGTGCTCGGGCACATTGCCCTGTGCGTTGCTTTGGCGCCGACACACGCTGCTTTGGCTCCGGCACCCAAGGTGTGAGCTGGTGAGCTGAACCTCTCTTTGCCTCGTGGCAATCGGTGTCCCATTTTGGACTGTTGAATCTGTAGCAGTGGTGCCAGCGCGCTGCTGTCTCACAGCCTTGAAGCAAGAGGAAAGCTTCCCCACCACTGAGTTTGTTGCCTTTCTGATAGCACCTCTGTTCCAGCACCAGCATGCTTTCTCTGTTAGGAAGGGAAGAGATACCTCTGGCTTTTTTAGGACAAAAAAACCCCATTGTTTTACAGCATAACCCATGGTTGCCACACAGCTTTCCATGAGGATGTTCATCCTTCTTTGTCAGATGAACCCCGCTGCTTTACCCTTGCCTTCTTGCTCACCATCACGCTGCTTGTTACTGTTACAGATGGGGTTGCTATCCATCAGTTTCAAAACAAAGACCCCAGCCTTTCATGGTGAACCTGTATCTGTGTTTTTACCAGGCCGTGGCTGTGTCCCACCCAGCTAACGCCCAGCTGGAGAACGCAGCCCTGCCCCGGGCCCTGCTATTCTGGGCAGGGAGGGAGGCAGGCGGTGAGAAAAGCGCCAGAGGCGAAAACTTAGCACGACCTGACACCTCTCCATCCTGCAATTGTGCTGGTTCCTGCCATGGCAGTTTAGGAAGACTCTCAAGAAACAGGGTTCCTTCCCTTTCTAAAAACGGCTGGATGAGTCATCCCGGTCCCGCTGTAGCGCAGTCCTGCCAGAGAGCGCATTTTAAGGGCTAAGGGGAGCAGCACGATTACAAACAGCGATTCCTCAAACGGCCCATAGCGCTCTGGTGGGGTTTCCCAAGAACGGTCCTGAGGGAGGGATCCCACTTTATGGGGCTACCTGTTCACAGAAACTTCTGCTTCCCCTCCCCAGTCCTGGCAGCTGCAAACCCCCCAGAAGCTGCAAAGTGCCGCCTGTTGTAGCTGGTGCCACTGAATCTGCATTTTCTTTTCTTTCTCCATGACAGCCTGTAAACTGTTCAGAAAGCTTTAAAATACATTTTGAGGCTGTTTACTTGTTTTGACCTAAAAGTGCAGTGCTGTTCATTTTTACGCAGGAGGTTTCTCAGGAACCTTGATGCTCCAGGTCAGGTATTTTCCCTTCTCCAGGAGGACAGGGCTCTGGAGGTGGCTCTCCTGCCACCACCATTGTTTGCCCACAACAATAGAACTTGCTCATTTAGGAAGGGCTACAGCCACAGCCAAGTGATTCTGCAGAGCTGCAGCAGCTCCCTCGGGTCCCTGCTGGCCTGGGGAACCTGAGACCAGAAAAGGATCTGCTCCATCCTGCAAACAATGTGATGTTGTTAGATTAGCTAGGCTTACTTAACACAGACCACACTGATAATGGCAGGACTCACTCCAGCCAACAGGCCATGAATTTAGGAGCATATTTCTCCAGGAAAAAAAAAAAAAAAAGGTATGATTTTCATGCAGAGGCATCAGCAGTGCACAGCTCTATGTGCACGTAAGCTAATTAACTCCCAGCAGGGAGAGTGTCTGAAGCTCCCACAGAAATTATTACTGGACCAAAGCAAGTGTACAGGCAGTTTCCTTTCTTGGTGGTTTTATCTCAACATGGATTTCCCAGCTCTCCTTCTTATTAAGAATTAGTCTGAAGTCCAATCTGGAGCTTAAATTCCCACAAAATCTACTTTATATTTATGCAATTGAGTGTGATATGTGCCTATTTTCTCCTATTTGTTTGTCATTTATTTTCTAATTCAGCAGCAGTTTTGTTGTCCTGCTAAAGAAAAGCTTTACTGGACAGGAAACTAAGGCACAGGTGAAAATTAGGAGTACTTAAGAAGGTTTTCATCCAGGTTCTGTCCTCAAAAGCTTTTCCTACTTAGCCCTTTCAACAGTGCATATTCAGCACAGAAGAGCAGAGAAGAATATTTGTAGATGTATAGATGGCCTCCATCTGTTTGTAGCATTAAGCATTACTAAGAAATCAGAGAGAGAACCTGAACACATTCAAAGATGCTCCCTTCTTTTCTACTTTTTTAAACACCACCCATACAGAATTCCATTTTTTCTTTTTTTTTTTTCCATTAGTTATTTCTTTACAAAGTCTTCTAGTGTCAAAAAGGTGCACACTTGATTTCTCACTGATTAAACTCCATCTTACTCTACCTGAAATTTGTGGGAAGATTCCCCCGCAAAACACACTGAGCGGAGAATTATTTTTACAGCAGGTTTTACGTGGACAATTGATTTGGACTGCAGTGGCATTGAGGAAAGTGATAGCTCCATGTTTCCAAAGCCTTGAAATTCAAATGATATGTCTGCCTTCCACACAAAATTAATATTAAATTTCAATAAAAATGAAAAAGAATAAGCTAAAACAGAGCATAAAATAAATTAATTGTACTTTTATAAACATCTGCTCTAACAAACTGCACAAAAGGAAAAAATAAATTCAAAGCCATATTTACCATATATTGAATCTGGTGTTTTATTTACATACATAATGTTGAAATCCACTTTACATCATTTACTCAAATAGCCTGTCTAAGATTAGGAGCGTGGCTCTGCCGTGTTTGTAAGGGCAACCTTTTGCCTTGTTCTTGGCAGGAGGATCTGGCGCAGCCGGAGCAGCCGGGGGCGGCGGGAGAAGCGGTGCCGGACGCGGAGGGCGGCGGAGAGGTAAGGTGACACCGCGGCCCGGATGTCCCCGCGCTCCTCTGCCACCAACGTGGCGCTTGCTTTTCTGGATTCATGTTTTACCCAGGAAGGATTTGCCTCCTCTTTCTGTACAATGGGGATTTTAGATCTGCTGCCCATGAAGCCATAATATTGCCAATTTGTTAGTTATCCGGCAGAATTGGAGCCCCTACATTCTCATGGTTTTGCCAGTTCCTTTTTCAGGACCAAGAGGTTGCCATGAGGGACAGGTGTGCCTTGTTCTAAACTGTTTGGTTTAGGTTGATTTGGGGGTATAAACAGTTGCATTCATATTTTCCTTCTTATATCATCATATGAAATAATTTTTCCAACCTCTTGACCATGCTTCAGAAAAGCTCACCCAAGTTAGCTTTTTCTATGTTTTTTGAGTCAGTTTAATTTTGCTTTATTCTAGCCACAATGTCCTTTTAAAACTCCCAATCAGTCTCAGCCAGTTTCAGCTCTCGAAGGAGAAAGGAGGAATTCTCATTGCCCAACCTGGACATTTTGAACAGACAAACATTTCCCAAGCAGACCTTTGGCTGCCTGTTCTGCAGCGCCTGTCCTCGCTTTGCAACTTCTTGGAACTTAGGCTGTGTTTTCACAGTGTCTTAAACTTCAGAAAGCCTCGGGTTGCACTGACCCCCCTCCACCAGCACTTGTATGTCCTGAGAATGCCACTGCCACCCAGTCACTGACAGCGGCGCACGCGCAATTCCAGGTGTGTGTCAGGCAGGGAGGGACGCACGGTAGGCGCAGGCAGCAGGACGCTCCTGTTGGCAGCAGCCCAGCCTGGGCTTAGTTCCACTTAGGCCACCGAGAAATCACACCCTTGTCTCCACTAGAGGCCTGAGTTAAAGAAGACAAGTGTCTGGTTCCCAGAGGAAATGGTTAATTCATCAGTTGTCCGCACAATGTACAGTCCGTGCTGTTATGCTGCTTCTTATGGTTTTTAATTTCTACCACCATTTCTAATTGTTTTCCATCTATTTTCTTGTCCTGCTCTTTTCACAGGGTGAAAATGAAGGCAATTAGTCAACCTAGGGACTCCTAGCCCCAGAGAGAGAATTCCAGGAGCATATATGGAAATATTAGCTGACACCACAACAGGAGACCCCTGCTACCCATAGACTAACTGCGTTCAGCACTGTAGTCTTTCACTTGCCTCATAAACCACTCACACAATAAATGTAAGTCAGACTCCTGATAGTATGCAAAGTGCAAAGGTTTGCTATGATATATGTCTCTCTAACCATGTCCTTTGTGGCTTCCTGACCCGCCGGCTTTGTGTGCTGTGATGCTCCAGTTTGTTGTGGTTGGACCCACTGATAAGTGTCTTATGTCCATCTGCACGGGCACTTGGGATCTCTAGGTATCATGGAAATATTTTTTTTAACTAATAAAAAGTGTTTGAACAAACTTTTGTTAATATTATTTCTGCATTTTAGACATTGATTCTTCCAGACTGATAACTCATTCTGTAGAAGGATGGTACTAGGTATGAGGGAGCGAAAAGGCACACAGAGGGCTGCTCTGATTACTCTTTTCAAGGTTAATGCTTCTAAACCCTTATTCAAATAACACTGGTTTCTTATTTTCTACTAATGTAAGGACTACTTAAAGGTCTAATTGTAATTTGGGGTCATTTCGTCTCTTTTAATCCATTAACTACTCTCTCTGAGTTTCCTTGGGATTGTTTTTTTCTGCAGGTGGAGTACTACAACCTTCCTGCATCTAAACTCCATAGTGCTCAGTGCTGTAAAGGCCTCAGGTGATGTTGGAGAGCACGGGAAAATAATGAAAAGCTATTTCTGAAGACATTAGGGTAGGCAGGCCAGTTTTCTGTCTGTCAAGGTTGAAAAATGGGTGTATCCCTTTTTAAGTACACCCCCACATTCAAGAGATTGTGCGTGGGGGAAATTGGAAGTGAGGGGAGTCTGCAAAGGAATGCAAACATCGCAGTGAGCTGAGGTAGTGTTCATGTTCTTTGCTATTTATTCTGCTTTACACCAGAGCTTGAAAACTCTGTCCTGTACAGTGAATGGCAGAATGGAGAGAAAGAGCTCTGAGCACTAACTAGCAGCGCCCAGCTCTGTCACTGCTGGCTCACACAGCCTGGAGTGCTCTGAAATGAGTGAGTGACTCCCGTGACGGCTGTCAAGGGAGTGTCATAATCACACTCAGAAGAATTATTAGTGTAATGAGAATATATGGGCTGATATAGGCTACAACAGTAAGTTAGTCAGCAGATAAGCTGCTGAATGAGAAAGGTAGAGACCTTTTGTATTTGTGAAATGAGGTGCAGTGAAATTATTGTGGATTGACAGTATTGCCAATAATGAAGAATGACAATAAAAGTCACCAATACGTAGAGATCTAAAAAATGGCTTTTTATTCATCTATGGGCTGAGCACCTATGAATTCGAGAGAAGCCAGTATAAGCTGTAGATGTTCAGCCCACTCAAAATGAAACTGTTAATATTTAGTAAACTACATCATGATGATGACAGCTGAATGTGTTAAAAGGAGAGATTCAGTGTATGAAAGGATCTAGCACATTAAAAATCCCTAGCAATCCCTACAAAGCTTTGTCTTGCAGAGCCCTGGAGTTTCCATCCAGAGTGGATGTTTGATCTTGGCAGGGAAAAGGAACGAAAGAGCGCTAGCAGGGATGGCAGGCTCCCTCAAAGGAAGGTATATCCAATAGGTATGTATTCTCTTCCAGTGTCCAGCCATACCTTTACAGCACTCCACAACTTTTATAACAAAAGCTGAGGACAAGATAAGAGGGCATAAAGGGTCTTGACGTTCATGCCCAGCAGCAGGAGGGCTAGAGCCTATTCTTAGTGCTTGGCAGAGAGAAGAAGAGAAAGAAAACCCTGCTCTGAAGCTTTGCTCTATGGTGATGCAAAAGTAGCCCACAGGGGAGAGGAGTGTAACAGCCTGCTCTGCTGGAGCACATCTGGGAAGCAGGGCCCTCCAGCCACTGTGCTGGGCTAATGCAAAACACGGGGTGAGCCATCCCTGGATGCCCATTCTTTTTCCCAGGCTTCATCCCTGAATCAAAAAAAACTTCAAATGGGAAAAAATATAATTGCTAAATTTGGAGTGCAGAGAAGCTATTCTCTAGAGTGAGCTACACACTGCTTTTGAGAGGCTTGCAGCACACCCCATGGGACAATGCTGCAGAACCTTTCTCTTATGGGAAGGACAGGATTTAGCTAGAGCTAAAATTGTGATTCTCAAAACTACTCAGCTGTTGCTTAACCCAGGCACCTAAAATACCTCATTGCTGCTCTTGTCCAGGTTTCACATTCCTGAGCATGAAACTAGAGGGAGATTCAGCATCTCCGCACCTCCTCTGTCAAAAGCACTTGTTCAGGAGGAGCTCAGAGGAGCCTCTCTGCATCTTACCCAAGGCAATCACTGATCAGTTCTGTGATCACAAGTCTTAACGAAGGAGATGAGGACTGGTGATCTGCTCCCTTGTGACCATCCCACACCACAGGGTGGGAGAACCGCGGTGCTCCCGCCGTGCCCGGGACACGGCTCAGGCTGCCCGCGCCGGGCCCGCGAGAGCCGTGCCCAAGAGCTTGCAGCCTGAGCCACCTTTCTCAGGGGTAGGAGCAGGGAACACGCATAAAAGAGCCAATCTATATATATTAGTTATTCACCTAAATTGTTGCATGTGTCTGTTTGGTTCACTGCATAGAAGAGAAGGTTGTGTTTTAATGATTATTCAAAAGCAACTAGCGATGCTGGAATGACACTGAAAAACGGGAGCGTGGAAAAGGTGCATCAGCAAACATCCTGCAGCACAAAGGCTTAAAAAATGCTTTTGCAAGAGCCATGCTGGATACTCAACTGCTCAAGGTAAAAATAGATTGAGATCAACACACGTGCAAAAACAATCTTTTGCTGACAGGTCATAATCTAGATAACTAAGAGTTACTTTTACAGATCTTACCCTTTGAGTTAAGTGGACCTGTATGTGATATTTATCTACATAGTCCAAGCTGTTAGTTTAACCCCACTGTGATAAGATGGCCCTTGTGCCAGGCGAAGCAGGGCATAGTCCTTTCCCCGACGAAATGCTGCTCCCCGGGAGGATTTGCTCGGAGCGGAGAAGGCAGAAAGAATCTTTGCCAACTGCTGCCTCAACTTTACCTTGTAAATGACCAACAAAACGCTGAAAATCATTTTTTCCCTCTTGAAACAGCAGAACTGTCTAACAGTGTAAAATTACAGTTGAGCGTGATGGAGTAATTTGCTCTGAGATAGTTTGTAGTCTTTGAGAGCTGCCCCTACAATAACATTTTAGCCAAAGGCTCAAGAGGGCCTCATTTTTTTTTCCAAAACGTTTGGCTAAGGGGCAGAGTTCTCGAGAAGACGGGGGTCTCCCAGGAATACCCTGACACACACTCCACAAGTTTAAATGCCAATGAGGCAATAACACACTTCTTAAAAATCCCACTTCATTTGGAAGTCCTCCCTTGATCGTTAGATAAAGCTTATCCAAAAGCTGGGCTCAGGAAGCATCTGATTAAAAATGAAAGGCTGCCTTTTTAAATGCTGTTCTTCCTACAGTATAGCCATAACCTAGTGATGGATCCTAAGCTGGCAGTAATGCCTTTCTCATCTTTCTCACTTTCGTAATTTAAAGACAAAAAAAACCAAATATATTTCAACACTTCCAACCCAATTAACCCCATGCGTAAGATATGAACCCTCATTCTGATGGGTTATCTCTCGGCTCCATCAGGTAAGACAAACAGAAGGGCTGGTGTTACTGAGGCAAGAGAAGCTGAGCAGAGGTGCAGAAGGAAACAGAGCAGAATGAGTCCTAATGGCCCTGTGGTGCCTTACATCTAGCTAAAAGCCATTTAGACTGTATATTTACAGTTGCCAACTAGCTCCAGATAGAGTCATGGTTCAGGGACCCCTCTTAGAGCTTAAGGAATCATGTGGTTTTTTTCGCCCCAGCAGAAATAACGTGCTGCTCGTAAGGAGAGAAAACAATGTCGAGGTGACAGACTGGAAGGAGCAGATGCAGGGCAAAAGCTGTGAAACATCAGGTAACTTTTATCCGAGTTCCTGCAAAGCCAAATAAGAAAATGATTCAGAAAAAGCAAAGCAAGGAACTGAAAAAGATACCTGATGTGAATAGAGAATTAAAACACTAATCAGCCTGGCTAGGCGCAATGAGGGCTGCTGGCTGAAATAATAAATGAGCGGTGCCAGGAGTGCAAAAGCTCAGCAGAGCCTGCTGAAAAGAGGAGAACAGGAGCCGGGCAGGAAGCAGCCTGCACGCCAAGCCCGTTCTCTGCCGCTCCTACTCGCCTGGGCTGCTAATGAAGCACTTGGGTTATGAGAGCTGCCACTTCCCACCCTGCTTTATCTGTGGTGTCTTGTTCTTGTGCCCATTTCTCAACAAAAGGCTTTAGTCGGCGTGATGAATGTGGGTACAAGCGTGGACATCTGAAGCAAGATGCTTGGTAGGCAGGGGACCAGTAGTGAGGATGTGTGTCCCACAGCGCTGGCCGAGCCCCTGCCCGCCGCGCTGCCCCGGCACAGGAGCTGTTTGTGTAAGGCTTCCTTGAATGCAGGAGCAGCGGCTGAAAACGTAAAATTTAAAGGCCGGCAGAAACCTGTGAAATGGCAGAGGTTAAGAAACTTTTATTTATGCAGTGATGTTCAGTTAGGAAATGATGTTTAAACAGTATTTCCATACTAACAAAATCTGCAGATTGGACAGTTATACTAGGAAAAAGTGTTTATGTGGCCTCGACCTCCTTTTTTCCTCTCCCTGCTGCAGCCCCCAGAGCTCACGGAAGTGAAAGCAGTAACCTGGCCAACCTAGAGAAGGCCTTGCTGGTGCTGCCTTGCAGCCTGGCTTGAGCAGGCGACTGGAAAGATGATCAGATTGGCCATTTCTTGTAAAAATACATTTAAATTACAACTCTCATAATCTAAAAATATTTCCTCTGACCAAAATAAAAAAAAGGCATTGTGATTAAAGCTCCTAAAAGCTAAATAAAGCTTGGGCTTAGCCTGTTCCCAGAAGGTTTAGTTTCACTGTGAAGGTTACAGAATGAAAGAAAGCAAAAGGAAATGCCTAGTTAGGATGAAAAATTGGCCTGTCCAGGTACTGGTTTTATTATTTACTTCAGTAGTTTTCCAGAAAGTTCAGTTCAGTGGTTTTATCTGTTTATATATTTCTGTTATGGTGGAACAGGTTTTTGTAGTTTTGATTTAAAGAAAAAAAAACTTATAAGCAAAGACAGCTCAAATCTTAAACATGATGAAGCAGAAATCCCTCCCTGGACACACCTTCTCTTTGGGAAGGATAAGTAAATCGCTTTTCTGTTTATTTTTTCAACTCTTCATTCCTCAAACTCAGACTCCACCCATGGCATCAATTACCCCCAGAGCATCCGCAGGTCTCTTGGCATCTGTATAAAAGGCAGGACAGGTCAGGGCACCCCTCACACTGTGCTCGGCTTTGCCTGGGGTTTCATTTTATCTGAAGCGGACGGCCATTAAAAGGTGTCAGAAGCTACTATGTCCAGTAGGAGCTTCCAGGGACTGAAGCAACAGGCGGAAGGTGCAGCCAAAGATGCTGGTAAGAAAGATTAAATAGCCTTGGCTATATTTATGGGGGGATAGTTGGTGCTTTTGCTGCCACAGACCAAAATCTGAAGTTGCCCTAACTTTAGTGGGGCTTTCTATCTTCAGTTAGCAGAGGCTGCAGTTTGATGCTGCAAAGTACAAATCTTGATGAAGGAGGTTTGTGGGCAAACCTGTGGTCTCCCTTCCACACGGTGCCTCCAGCAGGCACCCCCCCTGCCACCACGCGTCCCCTCAGCGCTGCCAGGGAGCAGCTTCTGCCCTTCCACCCATGCCGGGGCCGGGGGACCGGTCCCTCTGCCTGGAGGAGACCCCACCTAGGACCAAGGCTCCTGTTTTGGCACGGACCCTGGCCCTGCAGCCGCCTTCACCCACGCAGAGCTCGTTCAGTGCTCGCTGAACGCAGCTCAACCCCGACAGCTCCCAAAACAGCAGTTCTTTGCTGGGTTGTGAGTAACCTCACTGATTCCTTCGGAGTTGCTGCTTTTTTTGCACACCAAGGACCAAATACGTAGTAGAGCCAGAACATGACAGCAATTTCTTTTGTAACCAAAATACTTCTTGTTCCCTGCTCAATGTGTTCGTGCCATTGAGGGGTCACCGCAGACCGCTTCCTCTAGCAAAAGCAATGGAATGACTGTCTCTTCTTCCCAACTATGAGACATCTCACATTTTAAGTGTCACCTCACTCTTTTTTGTACTTGATATTCTGGAGTTGATCCATTGTGGTTTTAGCTTGTCTTTCTCTGAACATCTATTTAGATCTTCTTAGTAAAAGCTCTCTTTTCCTATCCTACTATTTAGTGTATTTTCTTCCATTTTGGAAAGGATGCTAGTTCCCAATGACCTGCCAAGAAGATGTATGCTAGATGGCTAAACAGAATAAGCTGTTACAAATCAGTAATGGCAAGTGTAGTATAAAACAAGCAATCTCCAGCTATATGCCCTTATTAAAACTGTCTGTTGATCTTTGCTTCTTTATCTCCTTCCTGTTTTTTTTTCCTGTCTTCTTACCTGTCAGCAATGTCCCCAGCCTAGTGCAGGTGCTATGTAAATGCTAGTCCCATGGCAATGTGCCTGCTCTGGCAATACGCCTGCTTCGTAGGGAGCCCAGGAGCAAAGTGCACGGCCCCAGCCTGGTCTGGAACAGCCTCCTGCCTGACCAGGGCCAGGGCTGTCCACAAGCACACGGGGAGGCCTGATGGCATGAGGAATTCATATGGGTTTAGAGCACTTAACAGAATCAGAGGAAAGGCGAGGATAAATGCGAGCACATGAAAATGGATTTTTTTGTCTTTAATTACAGCAAACACTTTTGGACAGGCTGCTCAGGATGCAGTCAACCAGGTTACGGATGCAAGTCAGAAAGGTATGGGAAATTACGCTCAAATCAGCCAGAGATCGAGCAACTGGATGCAAACACGTAGCAATCACAGTTCTTCTCTCCCCTTTCTCTGTTGCGTGCTCTTGGCTGAATGTCCACTGGTTTTAGTGATAGTCTTTGGCCTTGCACAAAACTCACGGGAAGGGATGCCAAGATCTGCTCTTAGTTGCTCCATGCCTCTCCTGGCAGAAGTGCTGCAGTAGCCAACCTCCCCGCCGCATCCCACGCATTGCACTCAGCGTCATGCTCAGGTTTTGGCTTCCTGTCTGGGTGAGCTCTTGGAACAGTGCAAGCAAAACTTTGCTCTTCTTTCTTGAAGACGAAGTAAACATGTGCTACATCTTGATTTCTCCAGCTCTGAGGGCAGGAGTCCACCAGTTTCAACCCCGCGTCCACCCTACTCGCTTGCTGAGGCAGCAGCTGAGGTCAAAAATTAATGATGCCAGAAGCTATAAAGGTGCTGTGAAAAAGCTCTGGCATTTCATTTCCGATGATAGCGAACTGGCAAGTTAACTCAGCACAGTTCTCACTCAATTTTAATCATTTTCTAAGAACGAGGGGGTCTAAAATGCCCCGTGCCTCAATGTGCAAGTGCCTCAGATGTGCAAGCTTGAGAGAGGGCAGAGAGGAGCCGGGGCCTCTCCCTGGCTCATCAGGCGGGCGGGAGCAGTCGTGGTGCCCAGCCTGGCCAGCGCTCGAGCCCGGGGCACCTTCCTCCAGCAGCCGCCTGCGCTGCCCCGCGCAGCCTCTTCCAGCGCCCGCGTCTCCGTCAGCCTCATCCTCCTCTAGCGACGCCTCGACGCATCACGCAGTGTTCCCAAGGAACCCCTCCTGTTTAACAACAGGCAGCCTTAGGGAGCCTCTTTTAAACCATATCCTTATAGTTTGATAGGGAGAGTCTAAACACTTTCACACTTCCTTTTCCCATCATAAATACTAAACTATGTTGCCTTTTTCAAGTTTTTGGCTTATCTGATGAATTTCTCCCTCTCTTTCAGCTATTGATCAGGCTTGCAAGACAGCTCAAGATGGTGTAGAAAAAGCAACTGGCCAAGCTGCAGAAGCAATCTCTGGCTTGGGGAAAAAATGTGGATTTAAGAAATGATACTTTAAGCAAACAGTACTGTATGTAAAAATGCATCTTTGTTCTGCAATTCCCTATGCCTTTGTGTAGAGAAATGAAAGCTGTTTGAGATATGGATAACTTTTTCCAAATACAATATTTGAATGCAATTCAAATGCTCCTTCGAATGCAGAATGCCCTCCTTATTCTTCCTGTAGGAAGAATACATATTTTAGCACATCTTGTTCCATCTGTTTATAATGTTCTATTCGAAATGGATCACAAGTCCTAAGCAACGCTATTGCCCTGCTCTTTCAACAGCACAATGATTATTGCCACATTCGTTGAGCATAAGCTTACAAAAATACTGAAACTAGTAATATTCCAGCATACCAGGACATTAATATTATGAAACTAAGCTTTCTTGCAGAAATGAAAATTGGTTAGTGCTATATTTCATGTCACTTGTTCATTTGTTCCATTATGTTGTTTTTCTATGTTAAATAAAAGTATAGCAATATTTCTTCCCTCCCCAGCACTGGATATATAGCTCCTTGGTAGGGGCTCCTGTTATTACAGCGGGCCTTCAGTAAAGGATCTCACAATGTCTCGCAAGTCTCTGCTTTTTGATTCAAAGTCCAGCGAAGTCAGTAACTGTCAGTAAGGTAGGTGAACGCTGAGAACGTTTAATAGATAATCAGGTGTATGGAAATGAGCGGCCCCATGCCGCGCAGGAAGGCTGTGCTACCTGGAAGTGAATGAGAGTTGGGTGTCCATCCCCTCATCCCTTCTGCCACATCTGTCCCAGTGCAGATTTCTTGCTGTTCTAGGCCACAAGAAATCTTCTGTTAAATCCCATGGGAACAAAATGAGACCCTCTAATACCCAGCTGCAGAAATAGCACTGAGCGTACACTATCACTCCATGCCTGTGCCATAGAAAAAATGATAGAGCTCTTCCCTAGTTTCTTTAATGATGCCTGAGCTGAAGTTTCTGGTTGCTGCTTGTGGGCAGCCCCGGATACACAAGGCAGCAGCTGTGCACTTGCAAAGCCGCTCCGGGACAGTGTCTGTGCTAGAGCAGAAAGGGGACAGCCTTCTTGGCTAGGAGATGGAAATATTTATTTTAGATTGCTGCTTACTGGCAACAGAGCCTGCTGCAGACAAACAGGGCAGCCAGTCTGGGTTTCCTTTGTCAACAAAAGGCACTAACACCCACTTAACTCAGTAAGTGATCTTAGCTCTGCCTTTGGACATTTATCATTGCTAGGCAATATTGCCATTTTATTTTCTGGTTCAAAGCCTGTCCAGCCAGCTCTCAATAAAAAGTTAATCTGGATCTTGCAAAAGGAAAATCAAAAAAACAGCCCAAAGTGTGTGGATGTAATGAAGTGGGGCGATCTAGGCCAACTTTAGGTATTGTTGTTGTGTACTTATTGGCCAAGAGATGTGGACTTGAATTTTTTGGAAGTTGCAGGTACTAATCTGTGTTAATGCAGTCCCAGAACAGACTGGCTCCCTGCTGGACCCGGAGAGCGCTGCCGTCTGCAATCTCCCCAAGGGCCGTGTGGACTAAAAACCTTTAGAGGAACCTATCTGTAATACATCATCTGTGAGTAAACATAGTACAGGGCTTTGCACAGAGTGTCCCGATGCAATGTCCACTCTCATTTAAAGCTTTAAAAGCCTAAATATTTACCCAAGTACAAGCCCAAAGAAAAAGCACTACACTATTGCACTCTCAGTTACTGGGCAGCACTCAATAGTACTTAATTATTTAGTACTTTCCATGGTTACTTCCCAGATGGTTAAACCCCGAGTGGCCAAATCCCTGAGGCTGGGAATTTTAGACTCGGGTGTCACATTTGTCGCTCCCATCCTGAGGATGGTGGGGATTTATACACCAGGCTTTGCAACATTGTTCTTTTTATTATTATTTATTTGTTTATTTGCAAAGCCAGTTCATGTTGCAAAAGAATTAACAGATGTGTTTTTCCATTGGCAAAGCTAGCAATGCCCTGGCGGTCGCGGGACACTCGCAGCGCGGGCGCTGCCGGCGCAGCCTCTGCCACCCCCTCGCTGCAGGTACCGCTGCCCTCAGGAGAGCCGCTCCGCACGGGGCAGCCCCAGCGGGTCCAGCCTTCCATCTCCCACAGCAGCCCGCAGTGTTTTCTAAAGACTGTGCTGCTAACAGTAACACTGGAGTAAAGCAGAGCCACTGGTTTGCGGTGATAAAACTTCAGAACGGAGCCTCCTACACGCAGGATTTTTTCCCAAATTCTTTACTATCAGACCTTTCAACATCTTCTCAGCCACCCGTGCAGTTCCTTAGTGCAGTCGCAGCTTGCGCTGCCTGCCTGCAGTGTCGCCGCTCAGCCGCGACGTGGAGCAGGGCCCTGCCAGCGCTGCCGCCGCGCGGCCTGCACAGCGCGAGCCCGGAGCCGCCACAGCGAGCGCGGCCGCTGCCGCCTCACGCCTCGAGGCAGGACAAGGCCCTCCGC